GAGAATGTGTGGTTGAAAATTAAAGTAACTTTATTCATTTGCGCGTAGAATATTTTATTGGGTGAATGTGTGGTGGAGAATCTTATTGTAGCAAACAATTTTTTGGATTAATGGTAGACAAACAGGGGTTGAAAAAACTTTTTTAATCCGTGTAAAAAAAGAAACAAGCCTATATAATTGAGATGTAGGGAGTAATAGATTGACACTAATACCATTACATATGAGCTATCATTGATATTTATTTATTGATTGATCATTAGTTTGACCATTAGAAACACGAATGCTTATTAATTATTATCATTAGAAAATAATTTCAGGGACCACTAACGTAACTATTCAAAACTTCAGTGACCATTTAGAGTAATTAACCCTAAAATAAAAAGAAAAAAAGGATAAATTCTTTTTGGGGCTGGGCCCATATAGTTGAATATTGTGCGATTGTGGAATTTAAATAAAGTTAACGTTGTATAAACAAGTCGACGATTTTATTCTTATTCAAACGACAGATTTGGACACCTCTGACATTTCAAAGTTTGTAATCCGACCCTTCAGCACATCAAAAGGTGATAACTGATAACAGTTTTGATCAATTTTGACGAAGAGCTCTGATCGAGGTAATTTTCGTTCTTAGACAATGGTTTTTTATATATGAAATTGATGAGGTAGTCACGCACTGTTGCGTTTTTTAGAGGAATTTTTTTGGTTAATTATTATTTAAGTTTGATAAAGAACTGATACTGCATTTTTTTGACAAATTTTTAATGATTTTGTTAATATGAATTAGTTTATTTGTCCCTTTCATTTGACAATACGTGTTTGTTCATGTTAGAGTACTTCGCACGTCAAATTCCATTCACCTTAAATTCTTAGTGATTTGATTCGGGAATCGTTACACAGATATGACGGAGGCAACTGTTGGAATTGCTAAGGATGTTACTGAAGTAAGTCTCCATCAATCAGTTTCCTTGTTTATCTAGTTTGATCGACAGTACGGTTTACTTATCTTCCTTTTTTTCGCCCTTCAAATTCAACCTTTGTGACTTCTTGTACAGCTGATCGGTAAAACCCCTTTGGTGTACCTGAACAATGTTGTCGATGGTTGTGTTGCACGTGTAGCAGCCAAGCTGGAATCAATGGAACCATGTTCTAGTGTTAAGGATAGGTATGGCTACTTATACTACAGTAAATCTCTACAAATCATTAAAATGTTGATCTCAATGCCCCTGAGTTCAGGGCTTGATCTTTCTTTTCACAGTCTCTCTTTACTTTATTAAATGTTGATAGCTTGGTATTTGATGGCCAATGTTACGTTCAGGATTGGTTACAGTATGATTGCTGATGCAGAGGCTAAAGGACTCATCATACCTGGGGAGGTTAGTTATTAGCATCTCCATTTTCTAGAAATACTAATTCAATATCGGGTAATTTATGGCAAAAAGATAAATCAACGTTTTATTATAAGTATATTACTTGCAGATATTGTAGTTGGATCTGACTTCTATTTTTTTTTTGCAGAGTGTCCTCATTGAGCCTACTAGTGGTAACACTGGCATAGGCTTGGCATTTATGGCAGCAGCGAAGGGTTACAAGCTGATCATTACCATGCCTTCTTCTATGAGTCTGGAGAGAAGAATTATTCTCCGTGCTTTTGGTGCTGAGTTGGTGCTCACTGATCCTGCTAAGGGAATGAAAGGCGCCGTTCAGAAGGCAGAAGAGATAAAAGCTAAGACACTAAATGCCTATATTCTTCAGCAGTTTGAAAACCCTGCCAACCCAAAGGTATCTATCATGTGTATTATTGTTATTCTTCATGATGTTATTGCTTGTTGATAAATTTTGATTCATCACTTGATGTACTTGTAGATACACTATGAAACCACTGGACCAGAAATCTGGAAAGGAACAAATGGGAAAATTGACGCTTTTGTTTCTGGAATTGGTACGGGAGGCACAATTACCGGTGCAGGGAAGTACCTTAAAGAACAGAACTCTGAGATAAAGGTTATCTTGACCTTTAAATTCAAACTGTAATTTGGTGCTTTATCTGATTATGGACCTTATCCATCAACTTTTATCATTCATATTTTAGCTATATGGCGTGGAACCAGTTGAGAGTCCTGTTCTTTCTGGAGGAAAGCCAGGTGAGTTCCTTTTGTTGTAGCGTACCCTGTTTCAAGTACTCCAGTCATGAGTTGCACACTTTTCTTGTTCTGGGATCGATGCTTTTTTTTTTTTTGGATTGAAAGGAAATCCTAGAGATCCATAATCAAAGTAAACATGCTCAAAGAGAATAACATAGTATAGTCTAATTCATTATGAAAGGCTCTTTTCATTGTTCTTTGCCCATTGTATGTTATGAATTCTTAAGAATTTTATGTACTTGCATAAACTAAATTGACTTGATTTTGTCTTTCTACATCAGTTAACAGATAGTTAAGCCCATATATAGTGGGGCTTAGTGATCCTTTGCATGATTGTCTTGGCATTATTAGCATTACTAACCAACCAAACATGTTCGTTGGCAATTTTTTAAGTATTTCATTTATACAAATGTTGTTTTTATGATGGCCTAGGTCCACATAAGATCCAGGGAATTGGTGCTGGTTTTATTCCCGGAGTGTTAGAGGTTAATCTCATTGATGAAGTAATTCAGGTAAGATTCTGAGTGGTCCTCTGTATTTTCTTTGGGTGAATTCTTTAATCTCGTTTAAGCTGTGGGGATTGGAGCAATGAGCACACATTTGCAGAATTTCAGGTCTTATAGTTTTGAACTAATGTGTTTACTCTGTTTCTTCTCCAGATTTCGAGTGATGAATCCATAGAAACTGCCAAGCTTCTTGCATTGAAAGAAGGGTTGCTTGTAAGTTAAAATGCTTTAGTCTCTTCATGAGTGGTGGTGAATCTAGTTGATTCTGACAATTTCACTTTTTCCAAATTTATACCCTTTTAATGCTCATTCTGGACTAGCAAGTTCTTAACTTGAAAATGTATGCTACAGGTGGGGATATCATCTGGTGCTGCAGCTGCTGCGGCAATTAAGATAGCAAAACGGCCAGAGAATGCTGGAAAACTGATTGTTGTAAGTCTGTTTACTTTCTGTGGCTTTGTTTCTACGAGGTCAAGTAGATAATAATACTATTGTCGGAGAGTAAGGAAAGAAAATGTGTCCCATGAGTTTCCTAGAGGTTGTGATCTGGTGATTTGAATTGGTCTTGCTAATCCAAGAGAAATTTATTCCCCTTTGGTTCACTCAAGAATGTAACTGTTGCATGATCAGTAATTGTCATCTATGTTCACCTTCTTAATGAACATAAAATGACAGGAGGTGGCCCTGATGATTTCTTGGTATTAGACTTAATTCCATGGTTTTCTCCTGCACGTGTGTCAACACAGTTGAGTAGTTGTGTGAAAGTGCGAGTGGAAATTGTCATCCTTTTTTACAATAATTTTTCTCAAGAATTACTCCCTTCATCTCAAGTTGATAGCTCCAAATTGTCTAGGCACAAGATTTTAGGAGAGGCTGACAATATTAATTTTGCAATTTCACCTATGAATCAAATTAACTCCTATGCTGAAAAATCTTAAGAACTCATAGCAACTTCTCCCCACGTCCACACTCTCACCCTACGGCCACCACCCTCTGAATACCGCTGCTCCCACTAAACCATCCGCCCGAAGTCTCAGATGGAGTCATAGACCACAAGGAGAACTGAGAAAGAAATCAATTTGACATCATCTTTTGATTTTGGCCAGGCTTTTATCTTCGGTTCCCCATCATGAAAGGTGAATTGGTGTTTGGTGATATGGTACATGATGGCAGACTCTCCTTGCTTTCCTAATCTGCTTTAGAGGATTTTTTTCTGTTGGGATTTGTTAGATTTGTAGGTAGGTGACGATTTCTGCCAGTAAGATGATTTAGTTGGTTGTGGTGGTGAGGGCACAGGGATAGTTGGTTTTGGTTACTGACTTTGTAGTCCATAAATTGGTTGAAAAAGAATTGGTTCCTATAGTCAATTATAGGCAATAAGCTAAACCTTTATCTTAATAAGAGTCGAGTACCCAAATCCTTTTTCTTCACTCAATCCAGGGCTACCCCTACTATAAGGTCAAACAAAATCAATATGTACTCGTTTTTGTTGTTTTCCCTGTGCTTAAAAGTTCAGTAGCTATATTGAATGATAAATAGGGGAAAGAGCTTGGTAATTCATTCATTACCTAATGTTTTAAGAAAGTAACTTTTAGTAAATTAATCCACTTGATTCTTACGCTGATTGCCATTAATTATCAACTTGCATACAGGCTGTTTTCCCAAGCTTTGGAGAGCGGTACCTTTCTTCTGTTCTTTTTGAATCAGTTAGACGAGAGGCAGAGAACATGACTGTCGAGCCCTGAACATGTTTCCCTGGTCTTCAATCTGAACAATGTTTTTTGAGACTGCAATACTTTTCTTTGTTCGCAAGGCTAATTACCTCTGCGGATTACTCGAGCTTCTTTCAGAATGGTCTGATGAAATTGTTGGAAATAATACGAAGCTTCTGCTCATGGGAATGATGGGAGCTTATAATAGTGGTTCTCTCATTTTATTTCTTTTGTTTGTATGTGTCTTCTTGCTATTTGTTAACAATTGAAAGACTTCTGCATTTTATTTCTTCAAATAAATAATTTGATGATGGAGTTTGTGAATTTTGCAAATGTTTCTCGAGTGTTGTTTCTTGGTATAGTTTTGTGGGTTTTCTACTTTACAGCAGCAATTTTTCTTGCTTTTGACTTGATTTGAGTATTGATGATATCGATTTGTGCAAAACTGCAGTATGTGCACAACTCATTTGATTAGGTAGATTGTACCGTATTGATTCTTAAATCAATTCTTCAGAACTCATAAGCAGAAAGATTCTATTACATTGCACTTCGCATTCAGTACATTGAAGATTGAAGATTATTAAAAAATTTCTCACGAGGAATGAGAATTGAATAGATTCTTATAAGAAGTTGGTGATTATTCAAGTAGGGATTGGGATACTCTTGACTCTATAATCAGCAAATTGGCTTCCAAAAGCATAGAGTAGCCAAAATTCTTGCTTCATCTTTTCAAACTCTCTAAGTAGCCTAAATTTTAAGAACTCCACAGATGCTGAAACTAATCTTGCATTTTCCATGAGAAAGTTTTGCTGATACTCGAGAAGCCAAGTATTTGGATCAAATTGCACTGCATTGGCACTCCATTTTCCTTGTGTCCATGAACTGTTGGTCTTCTCCATCAGGTACCTCAACTCTCCTCCATTAGACCACTGCAAAATAGAAGCGAAGAAGTGTTAGAATACGGATAATTCTGTAGCGCAATTCGAGCCATTTCATGAATAAGATGTTACCTCTGTAACTCTTCCCGATATAACTGTGAATGATCTTGAAGAGAATTCTGCTGTGAGCAATCCAGCGGTTTGCAATGGCCATCCCCAAATGCTCACCTCCTCTGTGGAGGATTTGTACAATGTACATTGCGAATTCAACAGCAAACCATCCTAAAATCCAATTCATAAATTAGTCTGGTATGAAAATCATGTTATTCTTTTCAAATTTGAAAAGTACGAGAAGAATTTCAAGAAGTGTACCTGATTAATTTTCCATACTGAATCAATACAAGTAGAAACCTTATTATCAACAAAGCCCTGTAACTCATCCTTCAAGAACAAGAATCTTTCATTAAAGTCCTCGAAAACCCATGATTTTTCACCCAAATTCTTAACAATATCAGATGACAATTTGGGCTTTAAAACACCATAAACCATACGCGAGAACCCATATTCTGCAGCAAAAATTATGATGAAACACAATATCAACCTCACCATGAAAACCCCATATCCCAATTCTCTCTTTCTTCTCTTAATCTTTTCTTGAAAACTCGTTCTTGCGGTGGAATTCAGCGGTGGTGAAGCAGAGAAAGATCGAACTGGAACACTCGATTTAGATTTGGGCGTCGATAAAAGAAGAGATGCTTTGTTAACAGACGCTGGGCTTCTTGGAATCATTTGTTTTGAGGGATAACGTTTGGTGAGTGAGCTTTTGCTAATGCTTTGCGGAATCAAATCAAGAGTGGAATTGATGCTGGCAATGCAGATTTCACATTTACAGCTCGCATCTTTTCGACATCCTGGAAAATAATAGCTATCCCGGGTTTCTGATTGGTTGAGTTCTATTGTGGTGGTAGATCTGAGGGAGGAGTTGGGAGTTAGAATAACTGATTTCATGGTCTTTTGGAGGATTTGGTGTTCTCTATAGAGACGATTTTGTTAGACCAATGTATATTTTCTAGGGTTTTGTTTTTCTTGGGGAGACGAAGAAGACAAGATGTAGGATTTGAAATTTGAATCTCAACGGTCGTATTACAAGCAATCCCCCTACCAAAAAAATCTAAAAATAAAAAATCCACCTTCCCTTTAGGGACAATTGTAGCAAAAACCCCAAACATTTGAGACATTAGCTAACCTTCCCCAAATATTTGATATGTTTCCGCTGTTACCCCTAACATTTCCAAACGTTGCAAGCGAGGTTCTTTTGAACGGTTTCCATCTATTTCTCCTTCAATTGACCCAAAAGTTAAGTTTGACCATATTTTAATCAATTGAAAATGGGGAAAATAGTAAATATCTATTAAAATAATTAAACAAAAGGATAATTGATTTTTTTTTAAAAAAGTAAACATCATCTTATTTACCCATTCCCTTCACTCCACGTGCCTCCACTCCTAACAACAAAATCACCACAAACAAAAAATCACCCAATCCCAATCGTCTCTCACCGTCGACACCAAGGAAAATTGTCGAAGCCAACATAAACCGCTGGTGCCAACACCCACCAGAGATCAATAAATTTTTGGAGAAGGTAAGTGGTCAAAAATTTTGGAGAAGTGTAGTAGGGTTTTTGGCTTCATGTATTTTCAAGTGCAAAAGAAGTGTTCTAAATAAATCTTGTAGAGGATTGTAGTAACATTTGTAACCATTATTGCAAATGTAAATTTGACATGGAAACAGATAGTCATGCATTTATTTATAATTTTTGGTAGTCCTTGTTGGAATGAAACAATCAAGCTATTTTCCACATTTTGTGATTCTTTATTCTCTTTTCTCTTTTCTAAAGAGATTCTATTTTGTGTTGGGAGTGTGATACCTCCGGTGTGGGAGATACTTTTCCAATGGCTTTTGAGGCGGCAAGGTGGTAGTTAAAATGATGAAGTGCGGCGGCTCCATTTAGGCTCTTCATTTTTTATTTTATTCTTTTCTTGGAGCAATTTTTCTTGGGTTAACAAGAAATTGGTGTTCACAGTGGTGATGATGGTGGTGGTCGTCGATAGCGGTGGGCTTGGTGGTGGCAGATTTCTAGTTTTATGTTGATGGGTTGGGCTTGTGCGTGGCGAGGGAAAAAAAGATACATTTTCCATTTTATTTTATTTATTTTATTGTTTTTCATTTAAATTTTTAATTTTTTATGGAAAAAATAGTAAGTTACCATTTTGCCCTACCCTATTTTGGTATAAAGTGGTCAATTTTTTATTTTGGTGGTCAACTGACAAAGAAATGGATGGAAACAGCCAAAAGGGTCTCACCTGCAACATTTGAAAATGTTAGGAGTAATGGCTACAACAAATTAACGATGTGGTGAAAGTTTGCTAACGTTTTAAAGATTTGATGTTTTTGCTGTAATTATCCATTTTCTTTATTCTCCTCACCTAGTTCACGATGGGAGGAGATTACATATTACCAAAAATTTGTATTGTTTTAATATTAAATTTATTTTTCAAGAAAATATCAAAATTTTCCATCTATATTATATTTTGCTTATTCTTTTTACATATCCATCTTGCATCGCCTCCACATTCACTCCCTTCTGCCTTAAAGAGATTTGTAGGGACGTCAAAATTTCTCTCCTTGATAGGTACTCATTCCCCATCTCAAGTGTGGGAAATCTCTGTCCCAAATTTCTAGAAACCACCCTAAAAATAATATTAATGAATAAATTAATTAAGGTAAATGGAAGATTTACAAGTCGCATACCTTGTTTCAAATTACAAAAATGCTGAATGTATAGTCTTTTTGACAGCCCCTCACATGGGGGTGGGACCCAAAATCGCGGGCCCCATTCCCATATAAGAGGGTTGTCAAAGTGAATGTACAAAAAGGCTGTACATATAGCATAGTTCTTCAAATTAATGTCAATTTTTATGTTTTGATAGTTTTAGTCAACCTCATCCCAATCATCACACTACCTCTAAAACAAAGATGAAAAGTTTGTGTTGCATACGCATATCATCACGATAAAAAGGCTCTATTTTATAAGCGACAAACAGACAAGTTAAAAGCATGTTGCGTCATAGAAGAGGCAAGGTCGTGGTTGGACTCAGAGTTGTGAGGTCAAGAAGATACAGAGCGACCGGGAGAGGTGGTTGTGGTGGTGGAAATCGATGACCACGTGGTTATTATAGAATCAAAATATAATTAAAAGTATGCATTAAAATATACGGCAATCAATCACAATTATTTTTACCATTGATTTTCTCCATCAACTCACTAGTCAAGTTTCATCTACATAAGAGGGTGCCATCCTTAATGTTAACAAGGAATGTATATCTAGCATTATTCTAATTTGAATCCTTCGAATAGAACGGTATGTCCTGTACAATGGGAATTCCATTCAAAACAGATGAATCGTCTTTATTATAATAAGAAGATGACATAAAGTCTCTCCGACCATACAAAATCAGATAGACCTCCAAAATTGGTCATAACTGAATAGATAATACAATGACTTATCAACTCAAACTAAGAAATAGGAAAGAGAACTGTGTATACTTTATATATAGTGAAAAGCTTGCAGGCTTAGTGAAAAATCAGGTGGACATATATGATGCTATGAACAGAAGGAAGAAGAGCAGAGAAGCTCTCAACTTGGTGGAAGTTGCATCAGATGATCCATCCCCAGTCGATGGTACAGTTTTTGACCCACCCCCTGCAAGATTTACACCAACAATATTATTGATCGTCTCCTTTAAGTCAACAACATAAGAAAGCAGAAACGAGCATAAATCATGTACCTGAAGGGTTAGCGTTTGGAGAATCCGGTGATCCATTAGGAGAGGCAGCAGGTGAACCAGCAGCATTGCACTGGCTAACAGGGGGAGTCTGAACATTACAAGCCTTTGGCAGGGCCATAGCTTGAGTCTGATTTATGTTGAGTCCCAATGAGGAGCCACCACCATTAAGGACCTGACACAAGCACTGTGGCTGGGACCGAACCACAGAGGCGAGCTGTGTGCAGCATCCGGTCGATGGGGTTGATGAGTTCCCAGATATGTAATTGAGACAGGGTGACATGCTAATTAGCACATTGGTGCAGTCGGTTGATTGTGCAATGGTGCCAGTCGAAAACAAGGTAGCTAGCATAAGTGTCATGATCATAACCATTTTTTGATCTTCCATTGAATGTAAAGTGACTGAATTGTTACTGAAAATGCCTGTGGAATGAGGAAATGTTTGGTACTTGATGGGGAATTCTGTTATGTGTTAGGTTTATATAGTAAGTTATCTGGGTGGCCAGGTGGGGGTGGGATGGGGTGGGTTACCAACTTCTCCTACTTTTTGAAGTCTTGGAAATTTTGTTAGGTGTGAAGGGCTTTCAGACTTGGTCTTCTTGTTTAGTTTAATAAGAAATTTTTGAATTTGAGACAAATGGAACAGGGTTGAGTTAGTGGGTGACTAACTTTATGCCTGGCAAAAATGTTCAATTTTTGGCTATTCAAAGCTGAGATTTGTTAGTACTTTCTTTTTTTCCTTTAGAATAAAGCATAATTGCATAATTTATCCTCGAATCCTACGTAGAGGTGAAATCCCGTCCTCGATCAGGGCCCTCTGGTGAGGTGGCCCTCCCCCCCTTTTTTTTCCTTTTTTTTTTTTTCAAGAAAATCAGTAAATAAGTGCGTAAAAGGTTGGAAGTGTTGTTGGGGTAGGTGTTTTTGGAGTTTGACGGATCTGATTTTTTGGTCTTGTATTGTCGTCCATATCAACTAGACACTAGGTGATTCAGGTTGGATCAACATGATTGCGACGTATAATCTAATCATCGATCGCACATTGACTTTAGACTGTGTTGATAAGGGGCCTAAATGTAATGTCGAAATTTGCATTGCAACAACTGTATCATACAACACAAATCTTTTACAAGTGGACGTCTTCTTCAACAAAATTTTCTGACGCGGCTTGACTACTCGATGAACCCATTGTTGAGCAGTTTGAATGAAAAATGCGATGCTAATTCTTGATTGAGGACCAACAAATTCCCACTGTAGACATCAACAGCCGTGAATTTTCACTTTCAAGAAGAAAATTACTATCAGGTGGTGGGGAGAGGAAAAAAGCAATAAATTTTTTTTTCTTTGCCCCCGTTTGACACCTATTATTTTGAATAATGAGTTTTTGAATAGTGATTGATGTAAAGAATATGTGGTTTTGATTGATATAAAGAATGTGTGGTTAAAACGTAAGAAGAATTTTTGGGTTTATGTGTAATATTATTTTATTTGAAGAATGTGTGGTTAGAAATGAGTACTGTAGAAAAATGAGAATGAGAATGAGATAAAAAATGAGTGTCAAACAGGGGCTTTGTATATGCAAAATCCCGCTCTCAAATTCATGAACCCTAATGGTAGATGGCAATGTTGGAGGAGTATAGTACCTAGATGAAATATGGCACAATGTGATCTTGTTCTGTCTAAATCTATGGTTGGCTCATGTTTATAAAACCGTTCATAAAATTGAAATATCTTTTTATTCATACATTTTAAAATGACCCAAAAGTACTATTCATTAATTCAACACTCATTTCTATTTACTTATAATTTAAACCTTTTATAAACACCTCTCATACATAGTCTAAGTCTCTAATCCATGTCAAAATCTTGTCGGCTATATTTGGCCTGTGTTTGGTTTAGCTCCAAATTAGAAATTTATTTTTATAAAAATTAATAAAAAGTGTACTTGAAAAGTTGATAAATGTTTTGATCTCATGAAATATGTGGTTGAAAACAAATTTGAAGGGTAAATGAGTTTTGAGAAAAAGATTTCACGTTAGAAGCGCAATCTCAATGCTTCAATAAACAATACAAAGCTTGTTTCATGGTTTAAGGGTTTCACCAGCTACCAGATCTTTATGTTACACTTTTTTTTTACTGCCAAACCATCAAACTGTTTCATTACATCAAGTTGTAAATATGAATCAGAAGAAACTTCATCAAACAGCAAGAATTCAATCACAAAACAATCCAGTATTTGAAGATTTCAACAACCATGTGGTTTTTCTGTATATCTGACGTTAATTTAAAGCTTCAGAAAGTAGAACAAGCTTGAAAACCTCTCAAGATGCAATAACTGGAGCATCCTTGATAGATTCACGCCAAGCATATTCCCGCGCCCCGTCCTTGTCAACAATTTTTATTACAAAGTTGGGTGGGGCCACAACCAGCCTTGATCGTATTTCCATTATGACCTTATCGACTAGATTAACAGCTTCTTCCACTGTCATGTCTCTATGGTAGTGCCTATCCATCATGGAGAGGGCGAAATATGAACCATAACCAAATGCAGCCTTATCAAGCTTGTGCAGGGAAGCGATATAGTCTACAAAGTAGAGGGAAGGGCCCTCCTTGTCGTAGCCAGCTAGAATGATATTCACCATATATGGATTCTGAAGACCAAAAACAAATTAGCAAGTAATATATATAAGGGAAAATTGCACCAAGAGTCTCTAACATTTTCAATTTTTGTACACTTTACCATAACCTTCAATTTGTACTAGCGAAAGTCCATGACCTTTAAAAAATATGCAGTAGAGGTCCAACTAGATGGAAGCCATCCATTTGACCATTAGTTAACCAAGAAAGTCAAAATTTAATCAATTTTGACCATATTAAAAAGGACAAAATGGTAACTTTGCATATTATTCCTAAAAGTTAAAAATTAAATTAAGAAATAAAAAATCCTCATCTTCCACCCCTCACCCATCCCACCCGAGAACCAAAAAAAAAAACACAGGCAACCGCTGGCCACCCAATTCGCCAGAATTTCATCCCCTAGCCGAGATACCATTCCACAAACACATCTCACACAATTAAATAGACAAACGATAGCATATGGATATCAAAATCAGCCCTTAAAGCCATGAGAGTCGCGTTGTCCAACAACAAAATTTGACAACTCCGGTGACACCCATGGTCGTGCATCGTTGCCAACCGATTCGCCTCACCTAGGTGCTCAAATTCATTGTGAGACATCATCCAAAAACAGCTCAGTTTAATAGAGGTTTGCCTCGGCAGCAAAATGAGGCAGTTCCATCTTCTTCAATTGATGTGTTTGGGAATGGTTTTTCACAAAATTAGCAACACGTGAATCGTTCACAGCATCATACGACCACTGGTGTGTCCTCAATTGCTTCAATTGATGCCCCTAATCGACCCAATTTTGGACTTGGGAAATTATGCCTCTTCCAATTGACGAAATTGGAGCTCTTTTTCCACCAAATTCAACCTACATTTCCTCAGCAACACCGAACAATGATGGGTATACCTTTAATTGATCCAGTTATGTCACAAATTACTCCAATTTTGGCTTCATATTCTACACATCGACTTTTGAGTGGTGGTAGCTGTCTTTAGGAAGCAGCACTGACATTGTGGGAACCGGTGACTATCGGCGTTTGAGCCCCACCGGCTCTGTAGCACGGACACTTCAATCAAGGTAGCGTGTCCGTGTCCGACACGTCGATACCGACAATTCTTAAACACTCTATCGTAATCATTTTTCTNCTCGGACACGCTACAGTAATCATTTTTCCTTTTATATTATTAATATTATATATTGTTAATTCAAAATTATTAGCAATAACAAATAGGTACTCGTGTTTAAAATATTTCAACAAGAAAAATTAATAACAAGTATAAAACTAAATTTATACCATATAAATGAAGAATTTTTAAGAATTTAATCAACGTGTCAATAATATGTCGTGTCTGTACTTTTTTTAAATATCGAGTGTCGACATATCCGACACGTGTCTGTATCGGTGCATCATAGCCCACTAGTATGGGTGGGAGTTGGGGAAGAAGAAAGTGTCAACGGCCATTAGCCTTTCTATTTTCATGAGAGTGGGTGGTTAGGTGCAAGGGGTTGGTGTAGATTTCTTTTATTTTTTTCAGTTTTTTACTTAATTATTTTATGTAAAAAAATGCAAATTTAACCTTTTGTCCTTTCAAAATTAGTAAAATTTGTAGTAAAGATCAATTCTTTGGTCAACTAACAGTCAAATTGATGTTTTCTATCCAATTGGACTTCTACTGCATATATTTTTAAAAGGTTAAGAATTTTCGTTGACACAAATTAATGGTCAGGGGAAAGTCTACAAAAAGTGAAAATGTTAAAGACCGCTGCTGCAATTTTCCCTATATATAAAGATATAGAAAATTCACTTTATTTCCATGCCCGTTCTTCTATATATTTCTTTAGCATGGTACAAGATAAAACAAAGTATACATACTTTTTTCTATAAATCGACACACTACTTTAGGATTTTCATATTCCCATAAAAAAAACTAAACGAATACACACACACACACACACACTATCTTCTTTGTCTGGTCAGCCCACAACAGATATTATCACAATAGACAATCCATGAAAAGATCAAAAAGCCTAAACTCAACCACAAATAAGTAATATGATGGTACATAAACTCAGACAATATACCTTCCGCAAAGCCGTGGCGAGCTCGCCTCGAGTAAAGTTTGCGGTAGCAGCAGTTGTCAAAGGGATGCCATTACGAAATTGGTACAAAGCCACATTCTTCTGTATGTACTCTGTAAACTGAGCCCTAACACAATATTTCCCAAGAAATTGAAATCACATTAAAACATGCACAAAGGTATCAAGCTTCAGAGAACATAATAAACACGCTTAAAAAGAAAATTGCAGCACAATTTGACAATCCTAAGTATTAAAAGTAAAAACCCGTAAAGCCAAAAACATATGCATAAAAAGAAACCAATTTAGCGTTATGCATAATATGTGGGTGTCTATTATAGCACAACCTGATCCATCAGACATAAAGAAACAAGAATCCAGAAATAACATAACCTTAATCAAGGGTTATTTGCAAGTTATCCCATATGGTTTAAAAAATATACCACTTGCCTTGTGGTTCTAAAATAGCTTAAGAACTGCCTATAGTTTTTAAAACCCTGCAAATTAAAACCAAGCGATTTGCAAAAAACTATACAATTACTCCCATCACGTGTCAGCAGAAAGAAAATCACACATCACATTGGCACAATTATAGAGAAACTTAAAGAAATCACCAAAATGAAAGCATTATTGCTCCAATCGTTTCAGTAAAATTTCACACATTTTCAGCTTCAAACATACCATTCCAGAGCACATCACATCCACAAACCACAAACATACATCACTATCTGTCGCCACTATAAATCAGGGCTTGTTTTAGGAGAATTACTAAAAGGACCTTACAAACATTTTGTATCTAAAATGTCTAAAGAATTTGCTGTTTGAATAAAGCCCCAAATGACAACTTCTATGACACTGATCACTACAAAGGTTAGCCATGTAAGTTCGCTGTAATGGAGATGATAAAACATTAGTTTCAGAGTCTTTAGACCAAAACACCCATGATCCAAGTTAGCAATCATTCGTTATTAGACGTCTCTTCGAGATCCGCAAATATGATAAAAGCTTCAACCAGAAAGATGGTCCTTAAATATCATAAAAGCTCCAAGCAGAAAGCTTCTAGTTAACCCCTCCTCCCTCCCATCTAAACAGAGATTGCATAATGACAGTCGTAGTCTTTCCCTTCAAAAGAAATTCTAATTTCATAGAGTTTAGAATAAATTATATTTTAACTGCAACTAAGGAATAAGTTTCGGGTCATGGCCATTGAGGATGAAATCATTTAATAGACAGAAAGCTTTTTTTTTTTCATTCTAATGAGAATTCTTAATTTCCAAACCTATTCTTGATAATATAATTGGCAGTGTAAACTTTCACAACAATAAATAAATTTCAATTGAAGAATTCAAATCACACACATTTCACTTGCATTTTAGGTGCATATATTCAAGCATCATTGCATTTCAACAAGATTTATCTTCCATAAACGCAAATAAGCAAAATCCACAATTAAAAAAAATAACCAAAAATAAAAATAAAAAATCCAATCAACTCACCACAGCAGAAAACCACAAATTATATACGTGCAAGTATTTGAAAAAGTGAGTTATACCGGTCACCGGTTTCACCGGATGCGCCCATGAGCTTGTGGGAGTCAAGGAGCATTATCTTATCCTCATTGGTCTTGTGTACGAGGATACTATGCACCGCCGATGAGTCCGCCACCACTATTGCGAAATCTTTGCCCACTAATCCAAACACACACTCCATTTTCTCCTAATTGAGATCTACTATCTGGTTTTTACTTTTTCTTGATCTTTTTTTCTTAGATTTGGGTGTCTGCTTAACTAGAGTTAAAAAGAGAACAGAGAGAAGGCTTCTTGAAGAACAAGAATGCAAGAATCGCCTGTCATGGTCGGGTTGGACATGTTGACCAGTTTTTTTGATGTTGGTTTAAAGATGTTACTTTGAAATACGGATCCGGCAGGTCGACCCGTTTTTGAGTTATTAATAAGAATTTCGCTGAAGTACCCGAAAATTTTGACACAGGAGTTGACCAATCCTCACATTTGTACGTGGGTCCCGCCTGAATTAAAAAATGTCAATCCGCCCATGTGTTTGTGTTCGATCATCTTGTATTTTATCTCATATGTTCGTGTAGCATGGTTCTATTATTAACTTGTTTGGTTTCATTATAATCTTCTTATAATTTGAAATCAAATTCAAATTCAAACATTAATTTTTATATACAACTATAATATATTTATAATATCAATTATGTTACGTGTACATCTTATTTTATATTATTTTTTTACATTGTGTCACGTGTTGACATATGATTAGACAATTTTAAAAAATAAAACACTTTCCCCAACACTTTTTGAATCTCCACACAATGTCAACCAAGATATGGAGTGTACATTTAGCATAATTCTTGTTGCGAAAAGAAAGAAAAAGAGAAGAGAAAATAAAATAAAAATTAATAAACTTGTGTATATTATAATGAAAGTCAAAATCCTATATTTATAGGACATGATTAGAGATACAATGACAATAATTTCTAGGATCGTAGTGGTACAATTGTTATTCACTAATAAATTTACTATTTATAACACTCCTACTTGAATAGCACATTACAAAATATGTCTCGTTAAAACTTTGTTTCATAAAAATCCAATAGGACAAAAAAATCAAACGAAGGAAAACGGGTGCAGTTATTTTGGTGTATTAAAGATAAACGCTTCCTCATTAAAACATTATTAGGAAAATTCAGCGAGATAAATCCAAGCGAAGAAAAAAAGTACAGTCACTCTCCCTGATATTGATTACTGAAAATTTTTGAGTCGACACATTCCAATCTTGTGAATCAATTTCTTGAATGTAGATGTTGGCAGTGCTTTTCTAAATAAATCAGTCATATTGTCACTTAAGTGAATTTGTTGAATATCGATGTCACCATTCTTCTGAAACTCATATGTATGAAAGAATTTTGAAGAAATGTGTTTCGTCTTGTAACCTTTGATATAATCTCATTTGAGTTGTGCAATACAAGGCATCATTGTCTTCATACAAAATTATTGGACTATTTTTTGTTGAAATTAATCCGCATGATACTTGTATATGATTGGTTATATTCCTCAACCATACACATTTTCGACATGCTTCATAGATTGTAGTAATTTCAAAATGATTTGAGGATGTTGCTGTAAATTATTACTTCACAAATCTCCATAATATAATTGCTCTTCTACGTGTAAGCAAGTATCATGTTTGTGATTTAGTTTTATGTAGACAGATAAATAACCTGCATCTGCATATCCCACTAAAGCAAATCTCGACTTTTGGAAATAAAATAATCTTAAATCAATAGTACCTGTTAGGTAACGAAAAATATGTTTAACATTATTTCAACATCTTTGTATTGGTGTAGAGTTATATCTTGTAGAGAGATTTATAGAAAAAGTTATGTCAGGTTGAGTACAGTTTGTAAGGTAAGTTAATACTTCAATTACACTAAAATATGATACTTCAGGACCAGATGCTTTTCTTTATCTTTAAATAGACGAAAATGATCGATTTTCACACCAAGTAATCGAACAACCATATGTGATGCAAATGGATGTACATTATCCATATAAAAGCGTTTTAAGACTTTTTCTGTACATGTAGATTGATGAACAAATAATCTCTCTAGGAAATGTTCAATCTGCAACCTTAGACAGAATTTGATTTTTTTTCCAAAACTTTCATCTCAAATTCACTTTTCAAATAATTTGCAGTGTTGATATCATCATAAGTTTTAATTAAATTTAAATCATCAATTCACAATTGCAAATCCAATAATTGTTTTCTTTTTTAAAACACGTGGACAGATATCGTCATTTTTATAGCATTTCTTTAACAAATATTTGTTGAGACGATTATATCACATGCATTCGAATTGTTTCATTCCATATAATGATATTTGCAATTTAATTGAGAAAGCATAAAATTTCTTAACAATTCATGACGGGATAAATAGCATCTCAGACGGAGAAACAAAAGTTCGTATAAGAATTACCACTGCGCAAGTGCAATTACTAAGTTGAGACGAGAAATAACTTAATTGAAATCCTAAAAAGTCAAAAATTCGTTGTAAGCCACTGCTAAATAAGAATTCAAGTCTTATTAGCACCAGTACACAGGCTGTCTCAGTCCCCATTTCTCCTGAAGGAGCGTCCGTCGGTGAGCCTGACACGACCACTAGTATGCTGGTGTAACATAGTCTGACAGTTGCCACAAACCACAACAGTTTGAGAGTGGCTAAAAACAGTGGTTCGCAACAATTGTGATATGCAAAAAGCATATCAGATAACCCATGAAACTCCTAAATAATCCATCAATACAATAAACAAAAGTACAAGTGCTCAAGCATTGAAGGAGCCCTGGCATTTCACTTCCTAATGCAACAATTCATTTTTTAAAAAAAATACAGACCGAGAAAATCAAATTAAGGGTGCGTTTGATGAATATTATTGAGAAAAGAACGTATTTTAAATAGTGATATAATGAGAAATAAGTGGTTAAAAGTAAAGAAAAGTTATTGATGTAATGTAAAATATTTTATTGAAAAATATGTGGTTGAAAATAAGTTTTGAAAAAAATGTGTGTCAAACATGACCTAAGTAGGATTTTTGAGAAAGTGCTTTTTTCCATCTTCTCACATGATTTTATTGGAAAAATATTATTTTTATCTTGTTTTCATCTTGTGATATTTCTAAAATTGACACGCACCCCTATGAATATTAGACTATTTTCACAAGTTTTATATTACTGAAATATAGAATAATTGTGTGGGTAAAATTATTGTATTTATTTTCTCCATATTAGTCATTTGAATAAAATAATTTATTTCTATGCTAATTAATTCTAATTGTTTGTTTACGATCATATACTTCATATTGTGTCATATATATTATCTCGCGCAGATAGTTTTGGATGATGCTTTGTTGGGATTTGACAAAATACCTACAACTTGGATGATGGAGGAAAAATAATGGAAGGATCGAAATGTACTTTCACAGATCCATGTTAGTCTCTCTAACAATATAAGGGGTAAGTCAATGTCAAATTTCTGTAATCAGATTTGTTATTATTGTAAGAAGAAAGGTCACATGAAGAGGGATTGCAATAAATTGCAGAACAAAGGTAATTTGACTGCAAATTAAGGGAACGAATCAAATACTTCAGATGAGACCAACATAGTCGTGAAATNAATTGTTAATTAATTAAATACATTAAAATCATAATTATACAATTCATGGTCACGTATGCATATTTACAGGTCACAACTTATTTATTGATCACATTTTATCAAATTAATTAGTCACAGATTATTTTTTATCGTAAATCAAAAAATTTGTAAGTGGCGGATTTTTTTACAGTCACTGATTAAAATTTTCATAGGTCACAAATCACAAATAGTATGAGTCAAAACTTATTAGTCAGTTACAAATTATCAAATTTTTTAGGTCACATGTAATTTCATGGTCACAAATTATCTTTTTCATTGGTTACATATTATTTATTGGTCACGGATTAACTAATTTAATGGTCACAGTCAACCAGATAATTGGTGACCACCACCAACACTTGTGACCTCCGACAGTACCATCGCTTCCGGGTCGCCAAAACCACCACAACAGTCGCCAAACCACCATCACCAAAACCACCATCACCTCACGACAACTAAGAACACCGTATTCTCCATCTCTTCACCACCACCACCACCTCCTCCTCTCCCTCACCACCAACAAACCACCAATTTCACTACAAGACCACCACCACACAAAACACCACAAAATAATAGAGTTCAGCTACAATTAAAAAAAAAAAACCCAGTAACATTAAAACATCCAATGTTGTGAAAAATCACTAGTAGAAAAACTGAGGCCAATAAAAGTCAAGCTATGAAAAATAAAATGCCCTAAATCTTACATATCGAGATCAGATCTTATTTTGGAGTAATCAATTTTTACCATTTAGCAGACAAATTCAATTGAATCAGAACCATTTCCCTAGCTCTACCACTCCCACTACCCCCAAATAACCACCACCATCATTTATATTAATAAATCTCCCTCCATCAATGAAAAACAAAAACCCATTTTCCACACCATCGTTAGTATCGCCGGTCAGGGATTTACGTTGAGGAGGGATTTACGGATGACTCACTTGAGTAGAGTTTTCGTGGATGGTGTGGTGATTGTGGATATCTGAAGGATGAAATAGGCAGCCACTCCCACATATTGTGAATTGCAGCACACATCGCCGATGCTCTATTGCAACAGTGGTGCGACGTTGGGCTGCTAGGGCTCGCATAGCCATTCTTGCGGGTTGCTGCATCGACGACTGTAGTAGAGAGACGTCGGGTTAACAGTAGAGAGACGGTGGAGAGAATGGAGATGTGGTTTGGGAATTAATTTTAGGGTTTGGATGGGTATAGAAGTGAGAGAAATGAAGAGGGAGAAGAGGAAGAGAAATGAAATGAAATTAGAGTTTGGGTGATATAAT